TTTGTGACTCTTGGAAGATAAGTGTGTTTGTCTTCCACTTGTAAATTTTCTACTGATGAATTAATGAAAGTGTTATTGATCAAAAAAAAAAAAAGAAGAAAATAAACATAGGCTGTTTTTATAATAAAAATGATGGAAACAAAAAGTGTAGAATATGCAAATTTCTAGTTCATAAATGGCCTTACAAAACAAATAACTGGAATCCAGAGAATAGCAGACTTATGCCATATTCTTCACTGTTTCAGCAGATTTGGATGCTGTAGTGGTGGCTAGTCATTCTAAAACCTCCCCTGATTTTAGACAGAGAGTTAAATTCTTTACCTTATAAAAAAATGGACTTTTTGCTGCCAAAATTGGAGAGCTGATATGGATGGTCCTAATTCTCAGAACTGTACAACAATCCATGCTCCAAGATGATTCATTACCTTGGGCAGCCTCATCACCTATAGTAATGAAGAGTATCATTAGTAGTCTGCCACATTAGCACTGATTCAAAATGGACAAAAAAACACCACTGTTCACCAGTAAAGGGCTAAGGAAAAACGAGAGATTCTTTGCACCAAGTGTTTGAGTTGATTGCAATCAAAGCAAACCATTGAATATAGACTAAAGGAATTCCTATAGGCTTAGTAAAAATTGTTTGCAGTGGATCTCTCATTCACTGCAGAGATAGCTTAGTGGTGGAAATTATATAATCCTGACCTATCTTGGATAATAATTCAGGGATACCAACAGAACAATTTTCTCATGTATGTATATGTTCATTTTTAAGTCTTCGATACCAAAGAGAAATATCATTAAAATATAAAGGGTAACTTTCATTTGTGATAAAGACCCCCTGACCGTTAAACCAGCTGATGGAAGGTACTAAATTACCAACATGCCCATTTTGTAATTCATGGGGCATGAAATGAGATTTTCAAAATACCCCCATGACATATGAGAAATACAATGCTAGTTGGGTATGGTAGAATCATGTGAGGGCCAAAATGTGATGATTGGTTGATCCTAAAATACTTGATGGACGGCTTTGATTGGCCACATCTTTTCTCCACATGGCAAAAGCAGCTACTAGAAGGATAGGTGCCAAGTAAGCCTCAAAATCAGAGGCCAAAAGCCCAGTCCAACCCTGTACTCGCACAAGTGGGCTCATGTTGGCACCAGAAAACCAATTCAAACATGAACTCTTTTTTTTTCTGTCCTTCCATCCAAACAAACACCGAATTCGCTCTGAAAAAATGATTGAAAGGCTACCACCTTAATAATAAACCAGTCAAAACCATGGTGTGAACATACACCACCGTCACATCTTCGCATTTTTTCCCTCTTATAAAAAAGACCGAAATGAGGAATCAAAAACACTTGCAAAGAACTCAGTTTTTTTGTAATTAATTAATATTTTTTCCAAAGCTCTCAGAAGACTTGTGATATGACGGCAGCATAACAGAGTTTGAATTTTGATCAACTATAGTTTATATAGCCATTGATTGCAAACAAACTTGAAACCGCCGTTGAAGCTAGCCAAAATATGAGTCAAACTGGGTTGGGTGTTGGTGATCGAGTCAGATGTTGGTTACATGTGCGAGATGAAGGTGGCAAATCCAAGAGACACAGATGAGTTTGTAAGATTTCCGGCTGGGTTTGTAAGATACTCTGAAAATGCCCTTCCCAATTTTCTGATTTTCTCCTAAACCCTAAGCTACACAAACATGCCACTGGAGAAACAACCATATGACAAGAACTCTACATCGCTCTTTGCTGGAAGTTGTTGCAACTATCTCACCGATGAAGAACTATTTGGTATGCCATAGCCAGTTATAGAAGAATCTCTGGCAATACCAAAAAGACCATCATTTGCAACTTTTATGCTATTGCCGGAGAAGAAAGTAATTTGATCGTCGTCACTGGAGAAGAACCTATGTACATGTATGCCACACCAGCCATTTTAACCATATGAGAACCAATATTTTTAGGAATTGTTGGGTTATCAGAGTGCAAGTGAAAGGGTAAAATTGTTCGAGAAAATAAAATGGGTAGTTTTGGGATTTAAAAAGCTTTAAACAACCAAATGAGAATCTTTTTCGAAGTTAACTGATGGAATGCTAATGTTGCAGCATAAAAGTTCAAGGTGTCGTTGTCACTGACCCCATAGTACAAGGGGACCTTTGTAATTTACCCAAATCAAAAGGAAGTATATACCAAGAAGCTCAAATGCCTTCTTCCCTAGGGTTTTAAGAAGATAACTGATGCAGTTGTACAGCCCATGTCAATGGGAGATTGCCACATGTCCCACCTTGAGGGGCAGACTGGTTAATTCACATCTCCTTAGAGGGCAATTTGATAATTCCACCGGGCAACCTGGATGCAACGTGCGAAACTGTAACAGTTGGCTGCCACAAGTGGGCCGACTTGATCAAATCACTAATGCTTGCACACTAAATGTGGGCTAACAGCGGACCATGAGGGCATTACTCAAACATTATGGGCAGAGGAAGTGGACCAACCTAGGACTTGTTACAGGATCCATTACTCCCACATTCTCTCTCTACGCTCTTCACTACTCAGTCCTCACTCACCTTGGCACACCTTGCACCTTTGATGACTGTTTATGACCATAAGTGCAATACCAAAACAGAGATCCTAAGATCAACTCTACGGTTTTTTATTAATAACAGAATCCTTTATTAATGAAATTAAGGGAAAGGTACAGAGGAAGCAAAGGGGAGAGGTAAGTTCTCTTAACCCTCTACGAGTGAAAAAAAGACAGAATTACAACACTGCCTAGAACATTTGATCCCTTCCCACACCTTGTTTAGCAAGAGCATCTACAAAAGAGTTAGCACTTCTCTTTAGTCTTTACCCATTGCAGCTGAATCTTTACATCCTGAGTTAGCCATTTGAACTTCCATAATCAAACATTTCAACCAACCTATAACCAATTTTGAGTCTCCTTCAACAATTACCTTCCTAATATTCAAATATTTACCCTTCTTTACCCCTTCCATTACTGTCATAACCATAACTCTAAGAGAACCACCTAAACCAATAGGACCAGAAAATACAGCAATAACCTTCCTTTCCTCAACTTTGAAAGTTCCTCCAATGTCTGAAGGCCCTGAATTACCTTCATTGCTTCCATCAAAGTTCAACTTAATAGAACCAGAAGCTGATGGAGACCAAAGGGAAGTAGTCTTTATTTGAAGAATGGGGTTGAATTAGACACTTCCTTCTAACTCCTCAATAACATATCTATAGTAATAACCCTCAAATACCTCCAGAGACACACCGGAAGAATTCAAGGTCCAAATCCTATTGTCCCACACAAAAGTTTCTACACCCACCCCACTAAAAATCTGAATCAAGGCCAAAGCATTCTCAGCTTCCAAATCCCCGAGACCCCTTCTTAAGTCCAAGTTTCAACTATAACCAAAATTGAAGTCAGACGGGGCCAAAAAAGTGGAAACCAACCCCTTTTTGAACATAGAGAGAGAAAACAAAGAAGGAAATTGTTCTTTCAAAGGTACATCTCCCAGCCAATGATGTTCCCAAATTTTCACAGAATTTCTAGAACAAAGATCATGCTTGATAAAAGGTAGGAAGGTAGGATGGCATGAATGGATCTCCATGGAGAAGCTCTTTTGTAGCCCTTGCTAAGACTCATGCATCCCACCCATCAGCCACTTGCCCATGAATACTCAAGATCACCTTAACCCACAATTTGTCCCTATCCTCTGTTAATCTCCATACCATTTCCCAAATAAAGCCACATTTCCCTTTTGAATGTTTCCAATGCCTAATTCACCCTCAGATTTGCATCTAGTGACCACCTCCTAGCTAACCCTGTGGTCTCTTCTCTCATCCCCTAGTTCCCATAGAAAATCATTCATCAACTTTTCCAGAATTTTGCTTATTGCCTCTGGTATCCTAAAAACTGATAAAAAAAATACATAGGCAAGTTAGTGAATGTAGAATTGTAGACTTTAACAATGTGACTCGGCCACACAATCACAGTTAATTATTCTTTCATGGGACTAATCTCTTGGTGAATCTATCAATCATCGGTTCCAAAAACTATTATTTCTCGGATTATCCCCTACAGATAGTCCCAAATAAATTAAAGGCCACTGAGAAGCCACTCATCCCAGAATTTCAGCCCTTTATGCCATCTCCCTCTCATACATATTAATCCCCACTACACAACGTTTGTCAAAATTAACCTTCAAATTTGACATTTTCTCAACTCTACAGTTTTAACCCTCATTAGTGAGACCATGCATCAACAATAACATTAAGGGAAATTGACAGATGATGATGAATTGAATGAGAGATTATCCCTTGGCACCATGAAGGTTTTGTAATCATGTCATGTCAGAGAATCAAGGTCTTAAGATCTAGGCAGAAGGTCTTATTCTAAGCCATTATCCTAGAAGTTGACAATCTTTTTGTGTGAATGTAATATAAAAAAAAATGTCTAGGATTTTCCTATTGTAGAATAGAAATTAAATTTGAACGTTCTCTACATGACACTAGGTCCTTTTTGTATGGGCTAGGTCTGTTACAAGTTCCTTGTTTTTATCTATATCTCATGCCATGGTTATGTAGTTGTTCCTTTTTAAATTAATAAGCACAACCAAAAGATTTTATTGAGGATGTAAGAAAAAAAATAAAGATGCTAGGCAACCCCTTCCTCTAAGTTAACAAAAGGAGACTACCTACAACAGCATAAATATAGACTCTTATCATGAATAAAAAGAAAAAGTAAAAAAAAGCATTTAGCCCCCCAACTGGAACCCTTCAAACAAGTGTTTAGGTTGCAAGCCATTTGAAGGATCATGATCATAAAACGACATCTAAAATTAGAGATTAACAGGAAGAAGTTTTTGATAACGAAAATAAAATTTTGAGAATTCTACAGCACTTAAATATTGATAAAAGATTCATCATATCTAGATTCTACTGTTTCAGCCAACTTTGATAAAAATCCAAAGTTTCTAGTACTTAATTTTTGAACAACATAGAATTGATTTATATGGAAGTTTAAAACCTCATATTTTGGGGGAAAAAGGTAAGGTAACCTTTTTTTAATCAATAAAAGGTAAGGTAATTGATGGATTTGGAAGTTTACTACCTAAATTATGAATTCATCAGGAAGGTAATTGAAGCAATACTGTTTTGCTGAGGTTGCCCTTGTTTAGTCTTTAGCGGTAAAAAGAACAGAAAAAGAAGACAAAATGCCCCAAGTAGACTCAAAAGAATAGAACTCATTAAAAAAGACTTAAAAGCATATAAGCACCTGAAGGTGACTCCTCAATCATAGCTACAGGTTCCTCATCTTGGTTTTCATAAGCAACGCCATCCTCTGAATCAGGCTGCCCACAGTTTAAAATCTGCTCTTCACAGCACCAAGTAACATCTGCAGCTAAGGAAACAAGGCAATGAGCACAATAATAAGTAAAGGTTCAACATCAGTGTTTTAAAAACCGACCTGGAGGCCGAACTGTTTTTGCCTCTGGGTCGCAGGTCACCGGTTCGACCGGCCAGGAGACCGTGCCACATCAGCATCTATCTATATATATGTGTATGTGTGTGTGTGTATAATTACATATTTTATCAATAAATCATGTATAATTATATTTTAGATATGATATATGTATTATTTTATATTTAATTTATGTTTTTTAATTCAGTTTTTAATTTTTCATTTATAAAAATATTAAAAATTGTGATTTGAGGCCACAAAAGAGGTTATTTTGTGAAAATAGTGGGGCAAGGCGCTTACAGCCCCTTGGGATGCATAGATCTCAAAAAATTACCTCAATCAGACATCGGAGTGCAAAGTTATGGCCTCCCGAAGTTTGCATACACAGCATGCAACCTGCAACCCGATCACCGGGTCGACCGGATCAACGGCCCAACCGTCCGGGTCGGATGGTTTTGACCAAGTCAACGGTTTTTGACATTTCTCCAGATTTTACTCGAACTGGACCCGAAATCTTGACCTGTGATGGTTCAAGCAGTTCTACCTTCCGGGTCAACAGCGAGTTGAAAACACTGTTCAACATTGACACTGGAAAGAAGTTCAAGACAGCGAACTAAAATGGAGGGAAAGAGATGCACATATACAAGTCAATAGAAACATCATCAAAGAATCTCAATTCTAAGCTACTGCAAGGTCAAAAGAAATAAACAGCATAAATAACGTCTTAATTTGAGGTAATCTAGTTGAACCTATTGAAAATAGGCAGGAAATGTAAACTTATTTCTGCATAAAGTTAGAAAAAATCATATAACGGTCAAACTATGTGAGCACATCAAAAGTTTGTTATGGAGGACTGCTTAAAGTAAATACCGACCAAACAAATTAAAATAAAAAGATTTAAAAGAACTGCAGAATAAAACATAAAGCATAACCCCATATAGTTATTTAGATTTTTGCTCCAAATCATATCGACACAGGGGATTGCCTCTTAGCCCTATCACTTTATGTAGACTGTTTGTACTATGCTGGAAGCATAAACAATACCCAGTTACTGCAGATCCAAAACTCAAATTACCTTCTCTAGAAAAACGGTCCTAACTTTGTGTAGGAACCTCTAAATTGAGCTCTGTTTGTTGCGTTCAAAAGTAGAGTCAAAGAGCTTTTAGAGACTATCTGAAAGTCTTTTGAAATGGAGGTATATGATTGGTTAAACCAACCAGCCTTAATCAGACTGGGATTAAACCCAAGAGATGGGGTAAATTGGGTTTTCTACATTTTAAGGGGTGATTCTTCCTAAGTGATGTTGTTGATCCAAGTCCCTATCGAACCATGATGGGATATGAATGAACAATATAAATAATGTGATGCAATATTTCCTCAAGAATGCAATAAATGAATCAACAAGTAGCCGGTTTCGCAAAAGTTCAAGTGAAACTCCGGAAAAACACAAAAAAAAAGAAAGAAAGAAAAAGGAAAGGCAACCCAAAGCTAAATTTCATTTCAAAATCCAGAAACTATCCACATATTTTTGAAATTTATGATAAACAAGAAAAAATGAACCAACATGTTGAATCCAAATTCGCCAAACTTCGAAGACTACAGCTGGAAACATAAGGGAATAAAAGGCCTAACCATTTTCCTTCTTAATGTCCTCCCTCCTCCGTTTCCGATTGCGAGCCCAGTCAGCAATGCTATTACAACCATCGCCGTCAGATTTGTTCTCTGATAATCCAGCCATGACTTCGATCCGAAGAACACGATCGGAAAAATTGCTGTCGTTGAAAGCAAAGGCAAAATCCCCATCAGAAGAACTCCTGTTGCCGCTCGAAGAGAAACTGGAATCCATGATTGTTCGAGGATGGGAAAGATCCACGTTCGACTCTTTCGTTATCCTATCAACCGCATCTCTTCAAAAATACGCTAACCCTAAACCTAGTCGGGAGTTACAGATACCAAAACCAATGACGACACACACCAGGAAAAAGAAAACTTCAAATGCAAAGGCACTGATGCATTAAACGACGAAAGAAAACAGAGATTCGGAGGAGGAAAAGAAGTGGCAGATATTTATTTCGTTCTTTGATTTCTGGTGAGATGCCGATTAGAGAAGCAAATGCAAATGCAAGAAATATAGACCAGCCAGCGGCTAGCCCTCTTCTCCAAACTCGACCCACCGATATGCTTACCTCCTTTTCCTCCTCTTTCGTTATTCTTCCTTAATTCTATCTTAACAACGTCGAGAGACAAATTACCCGCCTATTGACCTTTTATTACCAAATTATCCTTCTCTTTTCTTTTATTTTTCTTATAAGTTATACTGGCTAAAAATAATAATAGAAAATTAGAAACGACTTTTTCTCCTTTCTGGGCGAGCCCGGATCTCCTGCAATCAAAAACTCTGCAAATACTGAATCCAACCGTATACTGAAATATTTAAATTCAGAGAAAGATATTCTCAATGTACGGCTGGATGCCATGCTTGCAGAAGATCCCATTACTTTCTGGTTCTGGGCGGGATAGAGCCGTAAAGACCGAATTGGGAAGCCGGTCGAGATCGAGCCAGTCTGATGGAAAAGTCGAACCAAGAGCGGACCATCCAAATCCAGATACATACCTAAATGAAGTAACAGTTTCAGATCCTAATGTCAGGTACTGAGGTATTGGATTTGGGTTCGGATCCTTGATGTCATGACTCATGAGATCCTTCTTGTCTTGATTCGGATTAGTTTTTATTTTAGAATATTAAACTTTGCCACTGGACCGATCCATTTCATTTCATATATTTTCATGCATTACGCCATGGACGGTAGTGGATCCTGGATCCAAGTCTCCAAGTCCAAGTCTTTCGGCTTGAGAATACGTCCCAATTTTCAAAGGTTGTCCGGCAAGCGAGTTCGGATCTATTCCACATAGAGTATATCTCACACCAATCTCACAGCACGTTTCCACCGTGCATCTGAAATATTTACTCACAAATTAAAAATTACAAATACAAGATGTTTTAGGTGCACGGCCTAACCTAAACATGTTGTGAGGTGGATGTGAAGTGCAAATCCAAACTCCTAACAAATATGGAGTTCAAATCAATCTCCCTCAATGTCGTATATTGAGAACATCTCCCGATGTTATCATTTAGAGATATTCTCAATACACGGCAAAGATGGGGCAATCTTGTGGAGGGCTGATATGGTTTTACAAGGGGTTTTAGTGACTGACAATGGTTTTTTCCGGCCAACTTGATAAAAAGATGAAGGATTTGGAATTGGAATGAGATTTTTCCACGTGGAGGAATGACGTGATCAATTAAACTACGTGAGGTATGAAAGAATAACATGGTAATAATATTTTAGAAATACTCAATTAAGTTAGTATGATATAAACAAACTTAGGAACGTTCTTGACATGTTGCCATGCCGTGGGATACAAGAGTAATTGCACTCAATATCTTTTTTTGGAAAAAAAAAAAAAAACAAATGCCTAAATTAACGCGTGACGTCTAACTGTCTAAGAGGTAAGAGTCTAGTCGGATCTATTCACAACAAAAAAAAAAATTGTTTCTCATTCTCACAGTGAGATGTATGGACACATGATCATGGCCCACCTCAAAAAATTGTATCTGCAAATATAATCCAACAAATGTCCCTTTGTTGGGTTACCCAACCCGCAAGTGACCCGGGACTAAATGAATAAAACCCAATTCCTAATTAATGAATGGATTGAGTGGGTTGGGTTGAAAAGTTGCCACCGCCCCCAGTCCTCACGGCAACTAACCAAGTCTCCACTACAACTAACCAACCAGAAAGTTGGTTGACAAGCCATGAACTTAGGTATATCTAACTAGTCCCCTCCTATCCTATTTCTTTCCCTTCTTATTAAAAGAAAGCCTGTTATGATATGAGAATAGTATGGTATCTGTCTATCTGATGAATTAATGGCAAATCAACCCACGTCAAAACAAAAACAAAACCAATCAACCGGTGTTTACTATTTGACTTTGGATTGTGATTGATTAAATAAATTGTCAATGTATCATGTATGCATAGCCGTGTAACTTAGGCAAGTTCAAGTTATCATTTTGTCAAAATTTGAATGGGCCCAACCCAAAATTTCGAGCCCAAATGAGTGTATTATACTAATTAACTCGGGTGGACACTCATATGTTTGATGGATTACTAGCGGGGTGCACGTGCGTTGTAGGTATATGTTTATCATATTATTGTTAAAAGAATATATTTGAATTATTATAGAGTAATTTTCAAATTTTATGTATGAAAAATAATACACAAAAATAATAATGGACTGTGAGATCTGCTTTGTTTACGTTGGTGATGGACTATTATGACCTGTCAATTGTTGTCCTCCTTCCTGTGGAACTTGTAGCGAGTTTTTTTTTCCATGGTTTAGGGGTGCTTTGGGCCTCTGTAGGTAGAATAACCGATCTCTTTGTGTTTGGGTGTTGTTTTTGTGATCTCAGGCGTACTCAAAGTTTGTTTTGTTGGAGTGGCTAGTGGGATTTGCTTTGTCTATGTTTTTTACTTTTCATATATGTTTTGTAAACTTTGTTTTCTTTTCTAATAAATTTACCTTGCCTTATTCATAATAATAATAATAATAATAATTGATGTAGCATGATCTGGTCACTCCTAGCTGGATGGGGCCTCGCTTTTAACTGACAACGGACAGCACCTAAGAAGGAAAAGATGAAGGATTTCCGGGGAGCTCGCCCGGCGGGAACACTCCGATGCTTAAGTTAGAACTCTGAGAGAGAAGCTTAGAGAGTAATGGCGAGCTAAGAGTGGAGATGCGCACTAGTCGATTACCAAAAATTCAAATTACCTTTTTCTTGGGGGTTGGAGCCCTTATATATTAATGCGCTGCAAATCGGGTGTAACCGCCTCTAGCTCTCTGCTACAACCATTATTCGTCAGACTGATTTGATTTGCGCAGGGTATGGTCCTGTCACTTGAGAGACGTTATGCAGAGCTGGCATGTGCGCCGCCTGACGTGAGACGTGGGCGCAGTCCTTTGGACTGGCAGGTGCTACGCCGCCGGACAAGAGACGTGGGAGCAGACTGAAAAGCACGGTCTTGTCGGATAAGACGTTACCCGAAGACTCCGGGTTACTCAATAGCGAGCTCCCTTGTAACGAACTCCTTCGTAGCGAGTTGTCTTGCAGCAAGTCGTTCTGTAACGAGTTGTAGCGAGCTGCCTTGTGGCGAGCTGTTCTGTCGGGGTTTCAGCAAGCTTATTACGCCGAGTTGCGGCTAGGCTGTCATGCTGAGCTGTCACTTATGTCGAGTCATATCCACGTGTCCCTTAGTTAGGAGGTCGAGTCAAATCACCCTCAATTAATTGCCCCCCATTCCCTGGGCTAAGAGTCTCACTCTAGCGTGGGGAGTTCATGAAGTGATGGGTGGATTTGACCCATATTCAAAACTAGGTTGACTGACTACATGATGTGTACGCGTGGATGTCAGGTGACTTCTGGATTTTTGGGCGCCAAAAAACGTGTCAAACTACATTCAATTTGGGAAGACGTGCAGCCGTCTTTACTTCAGTTTCGGAGGACGTGCGGCTGACATTATTGTATGCCGTCATATCTGCTTTGATCGAGACCGTTGATTTTTCTGGCACAACGGCTATAAATAGGAGGGCCCCAGGCCTCATTTTCTTTACGCCAACTTGCCTTGCATTCAGTTTTGAGGTCGCACCTTCACCTTGTTTGCTCGAGCTCTCCCCGTTTCCGTTGCTTTCTCAGTCCACTTTCCTAGTGAGTCCTCTATTCTGTCCAAGCAATGTCTAGATATCCGTACCACGGTGGCTTTTTCCGAGACGGTAACCAGGGCGAGGTCTCCTCGAGCTCGGGGGGAGCTTGGGGGTTCCCTGAAGGGCAGGCTCCGGAAGCCCGTGAGGCCTCCGGTAATGCGGCTACAACTTCCCGGGGTCAAGAGCCTGATAGTTTGGGCCCTTCCTCCATGTCCATGGAGAGGATTGGGACCCTAGTCTCTTATTATAACCTCCCTAGGGATCTCATCTACAGCTTCCCATCGGGTAACTATCCCTGGGAACACGGTCACGATGAAATTGTGGTCTTTGAGGAGCAGCTCGTGGCTGGTCTTCGACTCCCTCTACATCCTTTGATAGTGGAGGTTCTTACCCATTTTAATGTCACTATAGACCAACTCCATCCGAACTCAATCCGAAATGTGGTTGAGACGATTTCTTTGTTTTTTGAGTATTGTCTTCCTCTTTCCCTTGACATCTTTGCCACTATCTTGTCCATTCCGTCAATCAGAGGTCGAACATGTAGGGCCTCCAACGTGAGCTCAACCGGGCTCGAGAGGAATTCCTCCAGGCTCAAAAGGGGAGCGAGGCCCTGGAGCTGCTCGTTAGGGACCAGGAAGCACGGATCTCCCGTCCGTCTGAGGAGAGCGTCCGTTACAGGAAGGAGTTTTCGAGGGTGGCGGCGGAGAGGGAGCTTCTTCACCAACAGGTCCAGAGCTTGGAGTCCACTCTCCATGAGATGACCTCCAGGTGGAGGCAGAGCGTGCTAAGGCAATGGAGGACTTCAAGGAGTCCCAACAGTTCCACGACCTCCAGGTTGAATATGGCTCTAGGTCCTACCGCTCAGGGTTCAAGCTTTGCCGGTGGCTGATCCGAAAGAAGTTCTCTGGCCTCAACCTGGAGGGCGTAACGATGAGAGACCTGGTCCCAGAGACGGCAGACGCGACGGCAGAGGAGGAGCCCGACTCCCTGGAGGAGAGTGATGAGGAGGTGGAGCCTTGAGGCTGGTTGCTCTCTTTTTTTTTTTTCTTCTGAAAAATGAATCTTTTGAAGTGGTTGCTCCTGGGCGGCTAAGCCCGGTTCTCTTTCTGTTTTGATGTACTCTCCCAGGCTGTTAAGTCCGGTTTTTCTAGTAATGAAATGTTTCTCTCTCTCTCTCTCTCTCTCTCTCTCTCTCTTTTTGCTAAGTGTTGTGTGATTTGCTCCTTTGCCAAAGTGACTATTTCACTCAAACTGTTAGAGCTAGGTGCCCGAAGTGAGGTTTCTCAATTATCGTTACCCCGAGCTGTTTCTCAGTACTTGGTAGGGGTGATTTTATAATATACACCGAGGTGACCAACATACCGAGCATATGCCCGACCTGTATGCACCTGGGTTACTTAAGTTGAAGTTGGTTGTCCCTAACGGGTCCAACTTGTATATCGGGGCGGG